CCTGCTCCACCATGGCCTCCTAGTCTGCCTGCTCCTCTGTGGCCTCCTAGTCTGCCTGCTCCGCCATGGCCTCCTAGTCTGCCTGCTTCGCCATGGCGCCCCGAACTGCCAGATCCGCCATGGGTCCCGGAACAGGCGCCGCCCTGGAGGCCTTCCGTCCTGGAACCCTGCTCCTAGAGGCCTCCAGAGCGCCCATCGGGGAGTTATGTCAGACTTTGTTCCTTGTTTTTTGCGTGTTTTGCTCCCCATGTGCCTTCCTTGCCCTTATTTGGTTATCTTCCTTGTCCTCGCTCTGTGCTCCTCACAGTAGCAACCCGTGACAGTTGTACACAGTAACACATTTACAAGTGTTATTATGCCTTAAAATATTTTTTATTGCAATTCTATTATATTACTATTTTTACATTAATCTGCCCTATATGCAGTGAGATAACCCATGGTCCAAAAGAGGCCACACCTACGTAATGTGCTTATTTTAACAGGTAAATGATAAACGTGTAATTTGTGTGTGTGTGTACACCAACTTATCTGTGTGTATGAGGGAACATGCAGTGGTGCCCAGAGCCCGGGGTGTAAGTCCTGACTCTTTTGTTAACACTGCTGCACATAAGACTGCCTTTATCTCTGGGCCCCAGGCGAATCACCCTGAGGATTGCACGTGTCTGTATTAAGAGGACACAGTGGAAGGAAGGACCTGTCTGAGTACAGCTGTTCAGACAGCAGGACAGTATGTCAGTGTCAGAGTAATTACTGTAATGTACTCCAATTACTTCCCTTTTAGTCTCATACACTGTCTGCAGTTTAAACTGATACTCACTACACCAATAGACGATGCAACAGCACATGATATCACCACTGTAATCTCATCCAAGACTAATACAAATCAAATCAGAAACCTTCACTACTGTAACACATATAGCTACTTTATAATCATGCCTCTCAAGTGGTGGAAATGGCCCAGATTCACTAGCAGGACCCTAGTTGGAGAGTCAGGGGGTATTTAAAGATTCTTTTTGCATCATTCTTGGGCACTTTAAATAACCAGAAAGAGAAACACCAGAAATTTACAAAGTGTTGCATTTTTATCCATTTTGTGTGTCCTTTAAATGTCATATGTTATGTGTCATGACGGAACAATTAAAAAGTTAATGAACAACATTCATCAATTATCTGTGGCACAAAATAAGCACTTTTCAGAAAGAAATTTAATGATCCAAGATAAAATTTGTTGCTGAGAGGATGCACACTTAGAGATGCTGTATGCATATTCTGCCTGCATTCACGAAGGTCAACACTGAGCAACCGCAGACACAAAAATGTTTATGTATGTGTGTACAGTTTTCTAGCCATTGAGTGGAAACATAACTGGCCACACTTTATTTTTAGGTCCAATCCTCGCTATTAACAAACCATTAACTATAATTTTTGCCTCAATAAACTCCTAATTTGCTGCTTATTAATAGTTAGTAAGGTAGTTGTTAAGTTTAGGTATTGGGTAGGATTAGGGATGCAGAATATGGTCATGCAGAATATGTGCTTTATAAGTACTAATAAACAGCCAATATGTTAATAATTAGTAGATGGAAGCATAATTAGATGTTACAATATATACCAAACAAACAGAAAAGGAGGACAATGTAGAGAACTTTGAACGATTAGCGTCACAATTCTGCAGAGTTCGAGGGAATGGCTTCTGTGTGGGCCTCCAACGAGTCATAATGAATTCAATCATGAAAAAAAATATCCTGCAGTGGTACAAGTACCAACTGGATGGCTTGGCATAGAGTAACACCATGGTAATCACCGGAAAAACCGAAGTGATCTTTTCTTAACATAAGCAAACAACTACCACAGGCTTTCTAATAAACATGCCCTTTCGACAAGCACTACAGCAGAATACAAAAAACTGTGTGACCTTTCAGTCTTTGATAATTGGCTAATAAAGAGACCAGCTCAGAGACATATATAAATATCCAACCATCTCGGCTCAATGACAACCATCTACAGCGCACAGCAGAGAGCATTTATCACACAGGCGTTTCTAACGCTAATCCAATAAGGGGGCCGAGTTCAAGAGTGTCATTAGCACAGGCATGTAACCGGAGATCTCAATATATTTGCATTAGTTTTTAGACTACGTGCCAACACTAGGAGGGAAAATGCATTTATAATGTCACCTTTAGCATGCATCCACCCCCGTCTGATATTAGCATATACCCACACACACATACACACCACTGCACACCGGCACAGTCTAGTATTCATATAAGATAATTAATTTGCGGGATCTATCTGCCGGTACAGGTAATGATTTGGACGCTCAGTCAATAGGCAATCCTTGGCACTGCGAAACGTGGCATGTGCACACTGGAATCAATATCAGTGTCAGCCAGTGGCCTTCTGACCATGCTATTGTTTGTGTCAACAGAACAGAATAGAGGATAAATTATATGCACAATTTTATGTCATCTGTGTGACAGCAAAATGAGCTTGAATAGTTGCTAAAATGACTGAAAGTATTTTGTAACAGCACCCAGAAATTTGTACCTTGGATCCTCTTGACATATTGAAGAAAAAACAATTGTTGTAAAGACATCGGAGGCACAGACCACTTCTTCTAGTGTGAGAGCTTGCGAGAAGGGGGGTTGGGGGCTTAGAAGGCTTCTTTTGAGATTTTATTGATCTGCACAAAAACGCAAGATCAAAAACATGAAAATGAAATAGCTTCAGGGAGCCTAAGAAACCAGTCGATAGAAAATGCTAAGGTAAAAATGGGTTGAAACGGCCTATTGTACTCAGAGTCCCTCACGCTGTAATGGTAGATGATGTTGAGCAACTACCAGGAGTGGGAGGGGACAGTACCCTCTCTTCTCTGCTGGGAGCCAAGTACTTCTGCATGCTAGACTGACTGTAAGAATTGTAAAATGTGGATGTCAGACTCTGTTCCATTTCTCGTGTTATGTTTTCCTCCCGCACGTGCTCCAGTTTGATGATATATGCCCATATTTGTTTTTTCCCGTGTTTTTGTTTTAGTTTTGAATAGTCTTTATTTTTTTCCGTTTTTCTCCCCGCGGTATGAGGACCGCCCTGCTGTCAAGCTCGCCGGCCGCGCCGTTGTCAAGCCCGCCGGCCGCGGCTCACTCAAGCCCGCCGACCGCACCGAAGACATCTACATAGAAGGTATGTGGCTTAGGTAAGGGCAAAACATTTTACATGTCCATTTACAACCCTAGGATTTGTCCCTAGAATGAATGTCCCTTTAGTAGCTCGCGTTATTTTATTAGAACGCACGTTATTTGCTTTCCGTGCCTTTCCGAATACAGACACCAACCCATCCCTGCCCTTCACATCCCCTGCACAGCCTGTAACATAACATTTATTTCCATGATCTGCAATTTTCGCTGTTGTCCTTGCTTGTTTCTTCACAATACCTGCAGAACTTCTAATGATTTGGCTGTGCAGGTCCGGCTGGCCTAGAACATGGGTGGGTATATGCAAACGTTGGGGGCGTTACTATTAGTGATCCCGACTGTAACGTCACAGTCGGTGTTATGTTCTGATTCGCATATTTTTCAGTGGTCTTTTGAATGCACAAGATTTACATAAGAATGAGGAAACAATGGTGTTTGAGGCTCACGGTATGTCATTTCCATGTACAGAACTGTTATTATTCAACTATGCCAAGTTAAATACAGTTTTCCATTCTATGGCACCTTTAATATTTAATAAATAAATAAATAAATAAATAAAACTTTCAAATTAAAATGAAAACTGAAAATATAAAAATAAAAAGGTAATTCTAAATATTAATAAATATTATAGTAGTATATAAATAATACTAAATTATCACATTTTCGAGATGATTGACTATTTACTGATTGACTTATTGATTGAGAAGTTACTCTGATAGACTAGACAAAGAGAAATCTTTGCAAAGTCACCTTTAAAGTAGAGGTTAACGTGAGTTGTTGTGTATCCTTGGTGTATTAATTCAAGGATGTTCATCAACAGACTTAGGCCCTGTCCCAAATACTGCCCTAAGTTCTTGTGGTCACGTTTCAGTGACATAATGCTGCACAAACTGTTGGTTAGAAGTCCGTTGTGAAGCTAGCATTGGCATTGGCAAAAGGGTACATCAAGGGCACATAGTGGCCACAATGGGGTGCTTATGAGCACCCTTCCAAAACCTAAAATGTCTAAACCTAAAATGTCAAATCGGACACCCTGTGGTCTTGTGGACTTCAAGGACACAACACAAAACGGCAAGTACACATCAAGTTGCAGCGTTGGGCTGGTGGGGACACTCAAACAAACAGAGCAATGTTTTGATAATGATTACACTTTTTCTGGGAGATGTCTTTGTTATAGTTTGTTATAGTTGCCTGCATATTAAACTGGAAAACGAGAAAGTTACATTTACACACTTTAACCTTTAAGCACAGTAGTTCATTTGTACACCTCTCACTGTCAGAATGCAGCAGAGATTAATGGAATTCTTCAGTGATACTGAAATAAAGTTACTGGATATACAACACTAGATTTGTGTAATATCAATTTCATGACAGATTAACCAATTATTCAACAGGAAGTGTTCTTTAAGAAGGTTCGCACTTTGCAGTCAGAATAACAGCTTGATTGCAGTACATAAACACATGCCAAAATTCACTGCAGTATTGAAGTGTTTCTTTATAGCTATTATGAATCTACTCTCTGGCCACTTCCTTGGTAAGCTAAAGGCCCCGATATAGAGTACTTCAAACTAAATCAAAGAACGAACTGATGTGACATCATTTAGAACAAAATCATGCCAAAATGAAGTTTGTTTTGTACGTTTGAAATGGCTTACCAAAGCAAACTCTCCGGAAAAGTTCACTCCAGCTGCAAAACACCTTCGTACTACCACTGGTCTGTGACGATAACATAATAGGAGGTGTGCGCTGAGGCCCCACTTTCTTTCATGTGCAACTCTTTTCTGGCTCATTTCGTCTGTTGAGTCTGTCCAGGTAAGATCACAATTAAGTTGTGCTTCTGATTAAATGAGACACTGATACTGTAAAGCTGCTTGCTTTTAAGCAATCTATTGAACAAAATGCCATAAATAAACATGACGTGACTTTAATGGAGTGCTACTTTGCAGAGCTCATACTAACATACCCATGTTGCTATGATCAGACGCTTTTCTTATGCTTTCTATAAAAAAAATGCATGCTGTTTTCTCATTTTTGTTGTGTTTATTTTGTTACTCAGAGGAAAGCGTACATATTCATCTAAACAATGCTTTCAGCAGTGGGGGTGGCGTCGGCATGTTCGCTAACAGTATATCGCTGCTCACGTAATTCGAATTTCATTTTACCCCTAAACGAAGAACGAAAAAGAACTTTGCTGTGAGTATATTGGGGCCTTAAAGCTTTCAACACACAAAATTTGTCTTTATTTAGTTCGCTCTTTAAAGAGCCCATTAAATTACTTGTAAAGCACAGTTCTTTCCTGTGTTACCATATTTCCTGTTGAAAAAGGAAATTGGAGTGGAAGAAGTATTTTTCCTGGAAAAAAATATTGAATTGTAAACGTGTATAATCTAGCTAATTTTACATACATACATACATACATACATACATGCATATACATATATACAGTATACATATATATATATATATATATATATACTGTGTGTGTGTGTGTATACAGTATATATATATTAGCAATGTAGATGACATCAAAGCTAACACACATGGACTAAACATTACAAAACTCCCATTTTAATATAATCTCAAACCAGCCTAAGAAGTTCTCTCAGCAGTGCCGAGCTGGCTTTTTTTTTTAGGTTTGTGGCCAGCTATTCTTCCTGACTAACCAGCTAAAAAGATGGGGTCATTAAACTCTATTCTTTGTGAAACAGCACAGTTAGCATTAGCCCTTTACAATTGCATTATTACTTGTTTCCTTAACTTCTGATTGTACATGTCCATGGTCCACAAGACCATAGGGTGTCCAATTTGTCATTTTATGATTTAGAAGGGTCCCCAAGAGTGGACCTATTTGTGGCTTCGATATACAACAGTGAAGTTGCTGCTGGTCACATGCACAGTATATTACAGTGTAAAGTACACTATTAATAGTGTACTTTAACCAGCTAACTTTCATGTCTGTGGTTGCATATCTGAAACTGTATCAGGGAAAATGGAAACTGTATCTGTGATCTGACTGTGATGTATTTGCATGAGGTCAATTTAAAAACCTGTTTCTGCATATCACAACAGTAAAACATATGTTGGTTAGTGTCGTGAGAAGCGTTTAGCTTCTGTCTTGGTCAGACTTAGCCAAGCCGGGAAGAAAATGTCGTAAATGTAGTGCAATAAGATTTCAATTGACTTTGACAGAAGGGTGCTGCATGACCAATTTGTTGTAATGATATAATCCTTGGCGGCAAAGATGGCTGTGTTTTATGAGCAAAAGAACTTGGCAAGTAACCCCTACTGTTTTGCCAATACTGCTATTGCAAACATAAAAATTAAGTGGCATCCTCAGGTGACAGCAGTTCTATTGCTTTACACAAGTTTTATTTGAGCAAAGCTCTCAATTAATTTCACCAAAGACCACATTAGATTACCAAACATCAAGGTCTTGAAAATTGTTGCTTAAGTTAACAAACCCCTAAGCTCACTGAGTAATTTAATGTGTGATACACTGTAAATCAAAAGGCTTTGGTATGATCTAAAGCAGAGGTCCCCAACCACCGGGTCACGACCCACTACCGGGCCTTGGAAGAATTGCTACCGGGTCGCAAGAACGTTCTGGGAAAAATGTGTATAGATATGACACTGTTATTTATTTATGTTAATGATTGTTCTAATTATTCTGTATTTTCTTTGTATGCAATTGATATGTAGTAGCAATTTGACAATTTCATGTTAAATAAGTAAATGAAAGATTGCTCTGATCTGTCACATATTAGGAGTTAAACGGATCGCAGTTGATCCGTAATACGTACGGATGAGACCCTACCGTTCGGCACGTGCGTGATTCGCAGATTAATTTGCCAATTTACAAGTACAAGAAATTTTAAACCACAAGAAGAAGAAAGCAGAGGTCCCCAACCACCGGGTCGCGACCCACTACCGGGCTGTGGAAGAATTGCTACCGGGTCGCAAGAACGTTCTGCGAAAAATGTGTATAGATATGACATTCTTTTATTCATTTATGTTAATGATTGTTCTAATTATTCTGTATTTTCTTTGTATGCAATTGATATGTAGTAGCAGTTTGACAATTTCATGTTAAATAAGTAAATGAAAGATTGCTCTGATCTGTCACATATTAGGAGTTAAACGGATCACAGTTGATTTATAATACGTACGGATGAGACCCTACCGTTCGGCACGCACGCGATTCGCAGATTAATTTGCCAATTTACAAGTACAAGAAATTTTAAACCACAAGAAGAAGAAACGAAAGAGAGTTCAATTTGTTACTCACGCGCTGTTCTCGTACACAATCAAAGCGCGCACAAGCATAGAGACGTGTTTCAGACAGTGCGGAAATACCAAGTTGCGTATAGGCTACATACACATAAAATGAGCCTATGTCAAAAACCCTTCACGGCATTGTCATTCTCTGTGCTTTAAATATTTTTTTTCTTGCTTATCCGAAAAAATAGTCAGATCTGTGACAAAAAAAAAACACAATATAATGTGTTGAACCAGTATATAATGCTATTATAATACTATATAATAGCCTAATATATATATATATATATATATATATATATATATGTATGTATGTATATACCTCCAACCCCAGAGTTCCAGTCAATCACACGCCATGTTAACATATCGACCTCATGATGTCGCCATGACACGAGAACATTTCGTGTTTTTGTGTCAATTATGGCAAAAACAGAAAAAAATATATAAATGCTGTCGTTCGTTTTAAAAACAGCAGACGAAAAT